CAGACAGGAATTTAGAGAAGAGGTCACTGAAATTAGGCTCCAGTGTGAGTCCCCAAAGTTGGTACATGGGAGCCATTTCAGGCTAAGGAGGGAAACAGGGACCTGATACAGTAATTTTAGCCAGGTGGGGAGAGGAGCCAATGTGGGGTTCCTGTGACAACCTGGCCTTGGTGCATGGGTAAGGGATGTGAGTGTGTGTGTGTGGGGGGGGTATGGGTGTGGTGTTGGGCACTGCAGGTGCCACACTACTATGGAAGCTGTGGTGCCTATTTTCTCATTGAACCCTCCCTAGACCCCTGAGAGGAGGTGCAGGCTGCCACTCTCCCCATTTCCCAGGTGAGCAAACTGAGGCTCAGAGGTGAAGTCATTTGCCCAAGGTCGCAGGGCCAGGATCTGCCTGCACGTCACAGGCTGGAGGTGGGGGGGGGGATGGGGAGCGAGGCTGCGTGGGAGGGAGAGTAATTAGAGGAGCCTGAGCAGAAGAAGGGATGACAGATAAACGGTCTGTCCCTGCTGTCCTTGATCTTCCTGCCCACTGTGTTTCTTTCCCTGGTTCGTGTGCTATTTTGGTCTCTGGGATGCTATCTCTCAAATTAACTTGAGGATGCTCCTTGGGCTCCTCACCTGGACCAGGACCCTGGCCTGGGTTTAGGGACCAAAGATAAGATGTTGACGCTGCTTTGAAGAAATTGTCAAAATGGGGCAGGCATCAAAGGTTGGGTGTGGGGTGGGTCACCAGTCTGGGCGAAAAATTGAAGTCTAGCTTCAATTTTTGTATGGGGGATGCACGCCGAGTGCAGCTTCGGGGATTTTTTCCCTGGAGTTACAGAACGGCCTGTCCCCGGGCCCCTCCCCATCTTCCCTCCAAGGGTAGCCAAACTGACCCCCGTCACCCAGCTTTTGCACACTTGGGACACGTGTCCCTCTAAAAAGCATTTTCCATGTCATGAACTTGAGTTCAGAAAACAAACCAAGACCCAGGTCCAGAGCTCTATGTTGGAAAGGGACAATGGAGACCCCAGAAGTGGCAGACAGAGCCCCCCAGAGACTCTGTTTCGCCCTGACCGGCTGGTGACCAGGCTGACCCTCCGAAGCTTCAGTGAGGAGACCATGTGGGGCTTCCTGGCTTCCCACAGGGTCTGGTGCACCCTGAGCATTTCCTGCGAACCCCTGGGGTCTCCAGCCATCCCTGGTCCCCATCAAGCCCGCTCAGTGCTGGCCACATCCCCAGACTCGCTTCTCAGCTTGGAGCAGGATGTTGAATCTGTTTCAATTTCTTTATTAAATGGGGTAATCATCGTGTCTAGCTTAGAGGTTAAGAGGATGGAGGGAGTTGGTATTAAATAAGTTAATATTTGTACAGAGTTTAGGAGAGTGTCTGATGTGAGGTATGTGCTCACGTAAAGTTAAATAAAATAAACAAGCCTCAGTGATTCTTGGCTTTGAGACTGGGCTCCGAGAGACGGGGGCTTTCGCGGGGAGCACTCTTCAGGGTCGGGGGTGGAGGTTTTCCTGATCCCCCCCCCCCCCGCCCGGGCAAGGGGCTGGTTCTTATGGGGGGGGGCAGCGTGCTCCTCTGCACGAGGAAGAACCCCAAGGGAGGTGCCCGATAAATGCCAAATGCTTGACTGATTTCCTAGCAGGCAGGAAAAAGGCCACTTGGCGCCCATCAACTTTTGTTTTACCTGCCGACCTGCAGCCCTGGAGATCTGGGCTGTGGAGAAGAGAGGCCCAGGCGCGCCATAAAACACCTCCCCCAAGTCTCCTTGCTGGATGCGCCATCCATCACTGCCGCTTCCCAGAAAGGAGGCCTTTCTCCGCCCCTTCTCCTGGGTTGCACCTGGTCCCTGCAAGTGGCGCGCAGATTTCATGGACTGGGCCCCAAGGGCCCGGTGGAGCTGAACTCAGGCAGAGGGCCAGGAACCTGCCGAATTCTGTTGCCTGAGATGCAGGCGACCTCTGAGTCCTGCAGGAGGCTCCGGGGGTCCCTGAGCACATGGACCAGGCCAAGGGCGCGGGGAAGATGCCCATGGGCTTGTGGATTCCAGTTAAGACCCAACCTGACTGGTGTGCACTCCCGGAATCTCAATGCTCTTTTCTGCAAAATGGGCACAATCACAGTCCCTGGGCTGATGAGCACTGAAGGAGAGTGCTGGGAGGAGTCAGGCCCCTGCCCCCAAACCCTGGCCACAGGACAGCGAGCGGGAAGTGACCTGGCTTCTATTTCCCCTTTATAAAGCATGGAGAAGGAGTTCCCACCTCCTTCCGTGGTTGAGAGATGAAACGAGGAATAACTCAAGCATTTGGCACATAACTCGCCACGTCCCCATCGGCGCTTACGGTTGATTTTGTGGGCGGTGCTTAATATGTGACGTATTAACTATCAACATGGTGGGTAGGCATCAGGCCCTGAAGTCAGATTGCTGGAGCTGAGACTCAGTGACGTCACCCATTAGCTTTGTGACCTTGTATAAATGACATCACCTCTCTGTGCCTTGTTTATCGAATGGGGGCCATAACAGCACTGACCTGGTAGAGCTACCAGATCTGAGAGGTCCCCATGCCGTGCTAGCGCATAGTGAGCACTAAGGAGTAGTAATACCGTATTAATGCATTAGCCTTGTTGCATAACTGTCATTACTAGTGTCACTATCTAAGGGAGGGAGGGAACTACCATTTCTTGAGCACCTACTACACAYTGGCACTTGCCAGGAGGAGAGTGAAGACCCAGGGAGGTGRGCTGYTTGYCTAAGGTCCACAGATGTGGAGGGGCTGCTAGCTCACTGTGCAGGGGAGGCAGGAAGGTGAGGCTGCACACTTAGTGAGAGTCTGCCATGGGCCACGCATGGGTCTCAGCGCCTGTCACCTCTCCTAATTCCCACAAGAACCATAGCAGGGGGCTTAATTATCCCCACTGTGCAGATGAGGGGTGCAGATCTCAAGAAGGAGAGACGCTCAGACTCCCAYAGCTACAAAAAGCAGAGYCAGGATTTGAACCCAGAGGTCTGTTGGACTTTTGTCACCTTCCGTTGACTCTCTCTGAGGCAGGCCAACAGTTTTATGTCTTCCACACCTGGAGAGAGGAGCCAGCACTGCAGATTGTCTCTAAGCCTTGCCTGGGCCACATGGGACCCTCTCCAGGATCTTGGGGACAGGCAGACAATAGCCTCCAAGGAGGCCCTGAGTCACAATCCCAAAGGCAAGGACACACAGCACCCAAAGTCGTCATTGTTACCCAGAAATCTTTATTACAAAAATATTTTGCAAGCCAAAAAGTTTAAGTTGCAACTATATACAAAACGGGGCCTGTTTCCTTCCCAACAGTCCGAAAATAAACTCCCGAAACCACGCTCCTTCCGCAGGTTTATTTCAACCTCTTCCTTTTCCTGGGGTTCCATACACAAGGTACGGGGACTCTCCAGGCTGCCCGGCTGAAACTGAACTACAGTCTTCCTTGGCCTCATTCCCTATTTCCCCCTCCCAAAATTAAAGTAAAACAAAATTTAAATGGCACCAAGAAAACATTCTTTTAAAAATCCTGTGTGTGTCTGTGCGTGCGTGTGTGCACACGTGTGCTGTCTCTGGGCAGAGCAGAGGGACACGGAGGGTAACAAGCCCACCCTTTGGAATTGAGAAACAGCCAGAGCAGGTGACTGGGCCACTGTGGCTCCCAGATGTCACCGAGGAGCTGGCTTGTCAGGCCAAGACTGCCCTTGTGGCCCGTTGGCTCAGCAAACTTCCAGATGACAGTGTGTAAAACACCAGTCACCGGCCCTGGAGAGCCGGGTCTGCACTGAGCCCCCGGGTCTCACCTGTGTGTTGCACCTGCAGAAACGGTCGGGCAGGCGGGCTCAGCGTCTGGCTCAGACAACAAGGTGTGCCATGGGCTTCCCACGGCTCAGGGGATCAGGGACATTGGTTTCTCAAGTCTACAAGCCATATGTGAAAACTGAATAACCAGGGTTGTGACTTACGCTCCTGGGCCCAGCCAGGCCCTGGCACCCAGCTACAAGGGTGGCAGTCAGAGGGTGACTGGGTCACAGCCTCTGCCCGACTTCCTGAACCAGAGGGTGGGGGGCTGGCGGGGGGTCTGCCCTGGCTCAGAGCTGGGCTGCCTGGTAGTGACCAGGATCTATTCCAGTCTGATCCCAATGGCGTTCATGAGCAAAAATGGAAGCTTCTTCCTTGTAGGAATGAGTTCTGAGAGCCGGATGGGGAGGGGGCGATGGCTAAGGGGGTGAGGCAAACAGCCTGGCTCAGTGTCCCCCCCTGTGCATGTCCCTAAAGTGCTTGTGAGAGATGGTGGGGAGGGGTGTCACCGGCCCTCTTCCCACTCTATGGAAGAGCAGATGGAGGCATCGGGTCTGGACAGGTCTGCACTTACCACCGTGGGGCCTCGGTGGGAACAGACCCCGCCGGGTGGCCCCGCTGAGGACGAGGTCCAGTGAGTCCCGGAGAGAAGGCTACGTGTCTCCACAGAGCAGCCGGATGGATCCTTCTTCCAGGTCCTCGGGGCTCTGGGACTTGGAAGGATTCAGTTTCTGCTGTAAGAAAATTCCCTCCAGGACAACACACTGTGAAACCTCAGACTTCACAAGACCCAACCGTGAACTTCAACACATGACAAAGAGCCAAGAGAACGCTGCCGTTGTTTTAAGAAGAAGAAGAAGAAGAAAAAAAAAAAAGAAAACAAAACGAAACAGAACGAAACACCACAGATCAAGTTTTCTAACACCTCGGCTTCAAGATTGCACGGTTCACATTTCTCAATAATTTACAGGCGTCCCCGGGGGAGGCTGCTGGGTTAGTGCTGCCAGGGGGGAAGCAAGCTGGGGGCTGAGAGGAGAGGCGGGCCGCGCCCAGCGCCCCATGAGGCTGGCAGATGCTCCAGAGTGGCACATGGACCCGGAGCGGGCGAGGCCAGGACTGTCGGCAGCAACCTCCGAGTCTCAGGACTCGGGTCTCAGTTTTATTTTTTTCCAGCTTTTTCCATGGAGGGGGCAGTTGGATCTACAGGGAAAAGATTTCCCAGAAGCCCCAGTGGGTGGAGGTGGTAAGAGGAGGTGGGGGGTCTTGTCCTCCTCATCCTGGAAGAGCAGGATCTGGGGCGTCAAGGAGGCAGCCAGGGTCTCTAAGACCACGACCAGACCCGTGAGTGACCGTCAGAGGCACAACAGTTCTTGGTCCCCAGCAGTGGCGCCCGCGGGTTCCCCAGGTGGTTCGGCAACATCAGTCCTCCAGACGGGGTGCAGGGTGTGGGGGCCGTGGCTGCCCTGGAAACGCTGGAGAGCCGAGGGGGCTGGGCAGATGGGAGCCGCCCTCACTCCTGGTCCTGGGACCGACGCCACCCAGCCGTCCCGGGACGGGGCTGGCTGTCCTCCACACGGACCACTCCATGGGGGACAAGAAAGCTCGTGGGGACAGGCCCCTAGAGCCAAGCACAGTCTGTTCACTTCCTTTGGACCTGGACGCTGGCGTACTCCGAGAAGGACGGCTCGGGCTTGGGGGCTGGCTGCTTGGGGCCCCGGTTGAGGTGGACCATGTCCAGGTCGGCGTAGGTGAGGGTGTCCTCCGGCCTGGAGGGCGGGCTAGTCTCGATGCTGGCGTACTCTGTGTGGTTATTGGGCTCGGCAGCCCGCGGGGCAGGCTTCTTCTCCTTGGGCAGATTCAGGTCGGCGTAGGTGATGTCGTTGATGTCATTTGTGTCCTGGATCTAAAAGGCACGGAGAGAAGGTCATTCTGGAGCATCCAGCCTGCTCAACCACCAACCGGGCACAGTCCCCCACAGTCCTCCTTCATTGTCCCCTCCTCCCAGCTGGAACCACCGGTGGTTCTCACCCCTCCTTTTCCTCGTCGCAAATCCACCAAGTCCATTTCAGCTCAAGCGTGACTCTATCCTAAGATGCTTCCTTGCCCTCCATGCCCCTGGCTGGGCCCAGGCTCCTTCTCCTGCTTCCCATCACAGTACCCACTGCCAAGGACGGGGTCGGCTTGGGGCCTGAATAGATCCCCATATGGGAAGGGATACTCATATTCATTCATGTGTTTATTTGGCAAATGTTCATTGGACTTTTGTTGATATGGGCACCAAGGCTGGCACAGGAGAGGCTCAATGCATGTTGAAGACATGAGTGCATGGATGGATGGATGGATGGATGGATGGATGGGTGGATGGAGAGGTGGGTAGATAGATGGATGGGTGGAGGGAGAGGTGGGTGGATGGATGGATAGGTGGAGGGATAGGTGAGTGGATAGATGGATGTTTAGGTAGATGGATGAATAAATGGATGAGTGAATGCATGGATGAATGGATTGATGGATGGATGGATGGATGAATAGGTGGAAAGATGGATTAATGGATGGATAAATGGGTGAGTGAATGCACGGATGAATGGATTGATGGATGGATGGATAAATGGATGAATAAATGCACAGATGAATGGATGGATAAATGAACAGGTGAATAGAGAGATGAATGGATGATGGATGAACAAATGGATTAATGAGTGGATGGATGGATGGAAGGATGGAGGGAGGGAAGGGCGAACAATGGATGGCAATGATTTCACCCTCACTCTGGGTACAGCCGGAGCTGAGAGACAGAACAGCAGTGGTGAGGGAGTGAGATCATCAGCTGTGGGTGTTGTAAAGGTTCTGGAGTCAGAAGGCCTGGGTCTGAATCCTGGTTCTGCCTTTTCAAGCTAAGCGACTTTTGGCAGATCCTTTAATCTCTCCGGGCCTCAGTCTCCCCATCTGTGAAGCAGAGATAATCATCGTGCCTCTCACCAGGGCTGTCGTGGGGATCGAGCGGAAGCATCCAGGCGAGCGTTCAGAACCGAGCCTGGCACCTGCGATCGCTTACCGCCAACACACGCCAGCCACTCGCAAAGCCGCACACCTCCCACGTTCGTCTCACCACCGGCCATCGCGCCTTAAAATGTCTCCCCGTGAACTAGAGCCTGCTCTGCCCACGCCCAGCAGCTGCTGATCTCAATCCTAGGCTTCTGGACACCACCCACTCCCACACATCCCCTCCCGAGGCCTCACCCGGCCCTTTCCCAGGCGAGGAAACTGAAACCTAAGTGGGCCTGATGATCTGGCATCACCCAGCGGGCAGGGTCTGCTGGCTCTCGGGCTGTGGCCCTCCTTCACCAGGTTCCCTCCATCCTGAGCCCTGCAGGTGCTCCCCAGCTGCTGTCAGCGAAACCCACAGGGACAGCCAGAGTCCCTCCCCAGCAAGAGCTGGTGCCCAGCCTCAGGGCCCGAGGCTCAGGTCTGCCAGCTCGGCCAGAGCAGGGTCATGACTGCCCGGCTTACTGCCCAGGGCCTGGCACGAAGCTGGTGCTCATTAAGTCTTTGAGGGTGATTTCTACAGGTTTCCATGACTAATTCTTCTCACCATCATCCTTTCCCCAGAAGGTTCCAGAGAGAAGTCCAGACTGGGGAGAAGGCCACGACTGGACATAGTTCTGTCTCTTCCAGTTCCCACCCAATCTCATGCCCAGGGCTGTGGGGGCCGCAGCGGGTCAGGAGGGCAGGCTGAGGTGTTCGGCCTCCCCCCAGCCCGACCTCTTCAACACATTATGCCTAAATGATGCCAATCGCCCAGGAAATGTCAAGGACGGGTGATGCTCCTTTACTGGGCTCAGAGCAGGGCCTGCTGCATTACCAGGTGCTGAGGGGCCCCTGCCTCCCAGGTCTGACGAGGTCAGCTGGAAATAGGCCGATCTCGTTTGCTCAGAAACAGGCCAATCACGTTGCCTAAGAAGTCCCCTTAGTGATGTTGAGGGGGACTGCCAGGTCTAGGGAGGTGCCCGCGGGAGGAAATTCATGACAAAAGGGTCTTTCCAGCAGCAAAAGCTAGAGAGGCCCTGGCGGCGGCTGGCGCTGTGCTATTACCCCAGGTGGGAGCGGGCTGATGGGGATGGTGCTCCTGGTGGGGGGACTGCCTTGAGCAAATGCAGGGCTACAGCCCGACCCCAGGGCACCAGGCCACCCAGCACACATGGTGTCCGGCGCCCCACTGGAGTGGTACCCTGAAGCAAGGTGACATCAGAGTCTCCTGGCTGGAGCAGCGAGGAGGAGCCCGCGTACTCCAGAGTACGCGGGGGAAATCAGGAATGCACAGATCCTCTCCCCTCCGCCTCCCTCCAGGGGGGGTGGGGTGGGGTGGGGGACAGAGTCTTAATTTAGAACCGGATCTGCAACTCAGGCTGATGCAAGGAAATCACACCCTGAGTTTCCCAGGAAGGGCGGCTCACCAAGGACTGTACCTGGGTTATATCCCTGGCGTTCTTCTCGGGCTCATGCAACCTAAAATGGAAAGAGACACACAGATATAAATACCGCACTATCTCAAGTGCTTATGCAAATCGATAAGAATAACATTTCAGTCCCACTTCCTATATGGGTAGAGGACAGGGATGAATGAGTCACAGCAGAAATACAACTGCTTATCAAATGTTTGGACAAGGGGGCCATCTCTCACTAACAAGGACGTGGCAACAATGCTCTGCCATTTGCTTTTTTTTTTTTCAATGTCTGTGGGCAGGGATCTTTAAAGATGATAATACCCAGAAGATGCACTGGGCGGGGAAGGCATGGTGCTTCACAGGCTGCAGGTGGGGGAGGCGAGCTAGAACTGTGGAAAGACAGCCCCAGGGGGAGGGGGAGGGCCTGGATGGGGTCTCCATCTCTTGACTTTTGGGGGGAAATTCCATGTACAAAGCACTTCCTGTCCGTTGGTCCCAGGCAGGGTGTGGGGAGGGAGGTTTGTCTCTCTGGGCTCTGTCCATCGAGACCGGTTTAGGAAATTAGGGTGAATGTAGAGATTAAGGTTTAAAAGGTTCACGAGAAGATACTTTTTTAAAGTTACAAATGATTAAAGTGATAACCAAAAAGGCAAATCTCTGTGGAATGATCTCAATGGTGGAAAACGTGTGGATAATAACGGGGGGCAAATGCCAATCACAGTGGTCTTTGTGGGGGTATTGGGTTTCCCATATTTCCCAAATGCTCTGTATTAGGAGTACCTATATATTACGACTAAACAACGAAAAGAGAAAGACCAAGATGCCTTGGTTCATCAAAAAAGCCCTTGGTTCGGCCATTGGAGGCTGTGGCTCAGCGCACAGGGGTCACGGTCAAGGTGATGTGCACACGGAGCCGCTGGCTCCACAGGAGTCGTGTTAGGTTCTCAGGCTGGTGACTCTGGGACGGGACGGTCGCCTGGATAGTGTCAGAAGTGAGCAATGGCGCTTGGCAGCCGGGTTATTAATGGATTTGGCATGAGTGCTTGGCTCAGAAGGCAGTTCTGGGGCATGACATGTCCCACGTGCCACAGGAACAGCCCTCCAGGATTGGGGACGCGTCTGGTGGGGGAGATCATGCAGATCTTCCCCCACCCCCTGGTTTCCAGCCCCCCGCCGCTCCCTGCTGCCTGTCTGGTTGGAGTCCAACTCCTCGCCCTGCTCAGCGTCCCAGGCAGCCTGGCTCCGCGGCTCCTCCACTCCCCCGCGCTCATTTACTCACGAGCCACCCACCAAGTATTTCATGCTGGCTACTCCGAGCTTTGTGTTTTCTGCTTCAACAACAGCCTTGAATGACCCCGTCACGCTTTTTCTCTTGGTGAACTTTCAAGCATCCTTCAAAACTTAACTCTGGTGTCACCTCCTTGGGAAGGATTTGCTGACCATGCTGGGATGGTGGCTGGCCCTCGGTGACAATCTCAGACCTCCTTGCATATTTTCACCTCTGCTTTCCGTTGCTCTGTCATGCTGAATGGGCACAGGCGCCCAACAACCAACTTGGAATGAACGCTGGTCCTGGAGTGCCCCAGGACCTCTGCACGCACAGCCCTCCTGCCTCTTCATCGGCCTCTCTCCAACTCTTCCCTCAAATCCTATATTCAACAGTCTTTTCACGGGGGGACCTTCACTGAATCTCTCAAATTCCATTTCAGAACCTCAAGCTCTTCTCTTTCATAGCTGTATTTCAGATTATAACCAATTATCCACTTTTTTTTCTGGTCTTTCTATCTCAGTGAATGGCACTAACTCATCCTGAGTCAGGCTAAAGTGGGAGTCATCCTTGATTCTTCTCTCTTCTTGTACAAGAAAGAGAAATTGCGGTCTGATTCCTGCAAGGCTGGTCAGCTCCATTAAAAAAAAATTTTTTTTTTCAGCCATTCTGTCATCTCCCTCTCTCAGCTCTCCTCTCTAAATTCCTAAACAAGCCTCCTTTCTGGCCTCTCTGCCTCCATTCTCCACATTCTCTCTTTCTTTTTTTTCTTTTTGTACAGGGCATTGAACCCAGGGACACTCACCCACCTCCCAACCCTTTTTATTTTTTATTTTAAGACAGGGTCTTGCTAAGTTGGCTCAGCTGGCCTCAAACTTGCAATCCTCCTGCCTCAGCTCCCACGTCTCTGGGACTGCAGGCCTGAGCCACTGTGGCCAGCATTCTCCACACTTAAAATGCATAGAAGATGCCACATTATTTTTCTGCCCAGACCGCTCACCCCTCTTGCCACACGATGCGATCCCTCTCGTATGGGGCTGGAGAGGCGCTGTGTGGTCTGCCCTGCTGACCGCCTCGGTCTCGCCTCTCCCACCCTCACGACTCTGGCCTCCACGCCCTGAGCTTGTGTTGAGCGCTCCTGCCTTGGAGCCCTGGACCGGCTCTCTGTCTGCCCCATCCTTCCCTTGTCCCAGCAGCCCCTGCAGACATCATTAAGCCTCCAGCTTGTCGGGTAAGCTGTCCCCAAGAGGCCAGGAGCTCTACACGGGGAGGGACGAGGTCTGTCCTGTTCACCTGGGAGGCGCTGGCCTTGTCCTGGGCTGGCCCGTGGCCGCCCTCCCTAGATGTTTGTTGAATGAATGAATGAGCTCTTCTCCCGCGGACCCTCAGTGCCACAGGCCCAGCTTCGTCCCTTTTCTGCTTTCCTTTGCGATGCCCCAGCTCGGGCTCCAGGCACCCAGCGGGGCCCGTCCAGATGAATCAATGAAAGACTCGGGAAAGCCCTAAATATCCCAAGAATAAACGCAGCCAACGTCTGACAAGTGAGCAAATGGCCGACTGAACGGACCCCAGTGCCCAATTAAAGGAGCAGAGACTCACTTTGGAGTCTGAGCCGGGGAGGATGACAGGCGCCGCTTTCTGCCTGCGCATTCCTAGCCCGGGGCCGGGGGGCTTTAGGGCCAGCTGGTCCCTCCCCAGCCACCAGCTGAAGGCTCTCTGAGCTCGGAGTGGCACCCTCCCCTGCACCCTTTCCCTGGAGTGGGGCTGACCCCCGCCAGCTGCGGCCAGAGCCAGCGCCCGGGAAGCACACCTCCCGGCTCACTGGAGATGAGGGAGTGAGTGACACCTCAGCTCCTAGGGAGGCTCACGCTGGAAAAATAAGAAACAGGCAGAAAGCGGTTGGCTAGCAGAGAGGAGGAGCGCCCGCCATCAGGGCTGGGGTCACAGGGCCCACACTTATGAGTGGCAGGACCCAGGGAATGTCACATGACTTCTCTGAGCCTCAGGTGCCTGGACCTGAGGACCAGGACGATAACAACCCTCTAGAATTGGGGTTCTCAGAGTGTGGCTCGGGGAGAACAGCACTGGCTGGGTAGGAACCCTGAACAGACTCGGGGAGCAGTGAGTCTGAACAGGACTCCCCCGGAGTCCGCCACAGCCTGGATCCTGGGAACCCCTGTCCTGTGACAGGACTGGGGAACAATCATAGGGCTTTTGCAAAAATTAAAACCACCTAGTGGGATCAAGGAAGGAAAGGGACGGATGGGTGCACAGGAGGCCATAAATGCTCAGTTAATGGCAGCTGTGACCACCACTGTCATTGTCATGGACACTCTCACTGTTCTTTGCTTCCAGAACCTCTTGTGCAACTGGGAAGGTGAGTCAGGTGAAAAGTCAGGCCAATAACAAAGCAAAACAGAAGGCAGAGATGCCCCCACGGAGAGCAGGGGTCCGGGGATTTGGCGAGAGAAGAGCTCTGGGCACGGCATGGGTTAGGGACGGCGCTCATTCAGTCACTCAGCAAACCTCTACTGGGCGCCTGCCCCCTTCCAGGGACAGTGCCGAGTTCAGAAGCTATTAGCTGTGAACACGAGGGGCACGGTCCCTGCCCTTGAGAGAGGTGGGTTGTAAATGGGCACAGAGACACCTGGAACACACGAGGGTGTCAGTGCCAGGGCACAGGAGGCCACAGGGAGCCCCTTAAGTAGGTAGGTGGTCATGTCCTTGCTGAGCTCAGGAGGAAGAGTGGGAGGTGACCAGGTGGAGGCAGGGGTGGCTCTAGCTCCTCCAGGAGTGGTTTGCAGAGCTCACAGGTGCCTCTGTCCCCAGCGCTGTGGAGACCCTGGGTGGTACGTGTGGGGGGTCCACCCAGGACAGAGGCCAGTGCACAGAGGCCAGGAGGACAGCAGGGGGCCTGTGTGTGGCAGGAAGGGAGCAGCGTGGCTCAGCCATTCAGTGTGAGGCCTGGCGGGGTGGACAGAAGTGAGACCGTCCTCACCAGCTGCGGCCAGGCCGTGAGGCCTCCAGAGCCTCGGGACTTTATCTTGAGGGACATGGGGGACACTGATGGTCTCTCAGCAGAAGATGGGGATGAGTCTGGCTCCTGGACAAGAGCGTGCCTGGTGTGTGGACGGGACAGGCAAAGACAGGGCACCAGGACAGTATTCCCTGGGAGGTCAGAAGGGCGCTGWGTGTTTGCRGGGAGGCTGGGAGGCTGGAYAGGCTCAGCCCAGGAAGCGCCCGTGGAGGCCAGAGCAGGAGGCACAGCTTTACCCAAGGACTTTCCATTCTGCACAGGAGAACGGCCCAAGAAGCTGCCAACCCTCTGGGCAGGTGAGATGCTCCTACTATGCGCAACCACAGAGCCCAGTAGTTCCTCCATCACCACACTCATCACCTGTGACCCCCATCTCAGGACACAGCGCTTCATTGCCCCCAACCTGGCAGCTGTCCTTGACTCTACATCCAATCCATCAGCATGTTCTCTGCTCTCCCTTCAAACTATGTCTAGGAACTGACCATTTCTCAGCCCACCCGCCGCTCAGGTCTGGGCCCCATCATCTGCTTGGTCCCTTGCAGTAGCCTCCTCACCAGCCTCCCCGCCTCCACCCTCACCTCACAGCCAGATTCCCACCTGCAGTCAGGCTGATGCTCTTAAAGCAAAAGCCAGGCCCCATCCTTCCTAGGGCTCATTCTCCCACTGGGAGTAAAACCCTGAATCCTTCTAGGAGCCCACACTCGAGGCCACTGGCCTCCACCCTAGGTCCTGAGTTCTTGCTGTGCAGTTCTGAAGTCCAGAAAGCTCTAGAAAAAAGAAATGGAAGATCTGCACAACCCAGTTGGTGGCAAAACCTGACCTGAAACAGTAAGAACCTGTTTACGGTTTTGTTTCTCATGTCCAGCGTAGATGTCTACCTGTTTCCACACCGCGGCATTCCCAGGGGACGCTGTGGAATGTGGTCCCTGCTCTGCTGGCGATGACTCCCAGGGCCTTCCTGGATGCTGACCAGTCTTTTTGGCCCAGCTCTGCAGCACATCCTGCCACATGGGCCTCTGCTAAGAGGAGGCCTGCGTCCCCCGACCCCATCCCTGCCTCCCCTCCTTCCTTCCATCCCAGCCACTTCCCTCCCCAGGCTCTGGCCCTGACGGCTCTTGCCCAGCCCCTGATCTTGGTCTTAGCTCCCAGCTGCAGGTTTCTGCTCACATAGCCTCTGCAAAGGTGCCCCTTCTGCCTGAGATAGCCCCCCACTGTGACCCTCCACCTCCTTGGCCATACCAGAGTTGTCACCACCTGGTAGAATGTTCTAGATCACTTCACTTGCATGCTTTGCCTGCATTCCTTGCCAAGGCTGAGCCCCATGAAGGTCGGGGCTCCTTCTTGCTCACCCACAGCAGAGCTGCACATACCAGGGATGTGACAAGTCCCTGCAAGTGTCAATCAATAAGCTAATGTTCCCTCTGTGAGGAGACCTGAGCCCCTGCCCGGCGTCCACCCTGGCACCCGAGGTACTCAACACATCTTCATCAACGAAGGAGAAGGCAGGTATAGAACTGGGATCTGGGGAGGGAGAGGCCAGCGGTGTGTGCAGGACACTGTGACATTCAGGGACTTGGAGTTTCTGTCACTCTGCAGGGGATTAGATCAGGGCCACACTGTCTGGGGACAGCGGGTGTGAAATCAGTGTCACTGTGCACCAAACCCCTGTATCTGAGACCAGAATTAAACACAGACCTGGAGCCCCCGGCTTACAAGAGAGAGGGGAACTGAGGGGCCAGTGAGGAGGGCCCGGGATCACCAAGCCACCCAGCGAGAACTGCAATGGTGTCCGGCCCAAGGATGAACTCACCTTGTGGAAGAAGTGGACCCCTTGGCTGAAAGAGAAAAGGAGAAGCAGTGAGTCCCCTAGACACACCACCGCCTCTGGCAACATTTTTTTTTTTTTTTTTTTTTTAAGCAAAGGTTTGCTCCAGGGATGTGTAAGGTAGTTATCTCCATCACATCCTGGGAGCCACAGGAAGTCCCCATGGCCACCTCCCCCGTGGGTGGTCCATCATCTTCCTAGAAGCCGAGGACTAAGCTAGGCCTTCCTGGCTTCCCACTTCCAGGAGAAGCCACCTGCCTCCCCTCTCGGGGCCTCACCCCCGTGCAAGTGAAAACCTCATGGGACCCTCGATCGAACTGGGTCCCACTTAGGTCCTGGAGAGCGGCTGAGGAGCAGGTGTGAAGCCAGGTCTGCCACTCACCTACCTGCCGTGTGACCCTAGGTGGGTCACTTTCCCTCTCTGAGCTTCTAAAACTCACAGGGCAGTGCTGTGCATCCATTTATTTACATATCACCTCTTTCTAAGAAAGACAGCGTCCGTCTGTCTGGTTCGGAGGTTTTCAGCCTGTAATATGGGGCTTCCCACAGAGAGGCCTCGGGGCTGAACCACCATTGGACTCCAATTTTACTGCAAAATTGTGATTAAAAAGCAACGTGTGCACTTGAGTGTGCTCTGCGCTGTACTTGGACAGGCAGAGGCCGCCGCAGGCAGGAATCCCTGCCGCCGAGTTCACGGGGCCTGGTGCCTGGGCAGGGGCTGGGGGGTTGGGGCAGCCAGCACCTGGTGGGGGCTCAGCGGCTGAGGCCTGGATGGAGGCAGAGGGTCAAGCTGGGGCACATGTCTTCTCTGAGAATCTACTGACCGGATGCCAATCCCCTCCTTCTCCACCTGAGAGACTGGGTGACTTCCCAGGCTCACGCAGCTGGCCAGTGGTGGAGCTGACAAGGGGACATTACGCAGAGGGTACTGAGGTCGAGGAGGGGACATCTCCAGGCCCAAGGAGGGGAGGAGGGACATCTCCTTGGGGTGCRGGGAGGCAGTGTGCAGAGTGGGCACTAATTGGTCCCTGCCTTTGAATCCTGGCCCCACCTGCCGGCTGGGAGCTCCTGAGCAAGCTTTCTAACTCACCCAGGMCTCAGTCTCCTCACCTGTAAAATGGGTTGCAAAACCTGGGCTGAGCCCTGTGGCGGGGGCTGACTGTGTCACTACACGCCAAGCCCCGGAAGCAGTGTGGAGCACATGGGGGTGGCCCAGTGGGACACAGGTCCCTGCAACCTGGTCTGGGAGCTGGGCTCTGTGTAGAGACCCACCACTCAGCAGCTGAGGGGCTTCCTGGGTGTCGACCTCTCTTCAGATCCCTCCTCTGCAACAAGGGCCGCTGATCCTACCCCACAGTGACAAGCTCATGAGCCAGGAGCCCTGCCCTACGCCAGACGCAGTCCTGGAAGGGACAGTTGGGGCTTCACTGAAGGCCACCACAATGTTCTGTCCCCTTTGGGTGGACAAGTGGAGGGCTCCCCAGGAACTGTAGGGAGACCATCATGGGGCAGGTGSCGTGGACCCCTTTACTCTCTGGAGAGGCAGGGCCTACCCCCACCCTCCTGAATTGCAGCGTGGGGCTTGGTCTGTCTCAGGCAGACTCCTGCCAGCCCAGGAGGGACAGAAGCTTGGAGCAGAGGGGATCCTGACTACCCAGGACACKCCCGTGCTGGCTGAGCCACAGGAGGGCAGCTCGGGACAGYGCCTGYCACTTTGCCGCCTGTGGCTYGTGGTGGGTCACAGCCAGCCACTTTAAACAGAAAAGAACAGAGTTTGACCAAAAAGAAAATACCAGAGTTTCAATTTTATCTAAAGGGGTGTGTTGGGCTGAGATGKGAAATGTTATTTCTGTCGCTTGCAGTAAAAAAGGTTTCGGAAATACCAGCTTAAAACTGGCTCCTCTGAGCGTGGCTGAGGAAATGCGCACTAAGGTCCCAGAACATGCCAGACTGTCACTTACAGGAGCCGACTTGGGCCCCAGCTCTATCCTCTAAGGCAGGTGCTGCTAAAGCCATTTTGTTTTGCGGGGATGGGGGTGGGTACTGGGGATTGAACCCAGGGGCACTAGGCCACTGAGCCACACCCCAGCCCTATTTAGTATTTTATTCAGAGACATCTCCCTGGGTTGCTTAGGGCCTTGCTCTTGTGGAGACTGGCTTTGAACTTGCCATCCTCCTGCCCCAGACTCCCGAGCTGCTGGGATTATGGGTGTGACCACCGCACCGGGCTCGCTAAAGCCATTTTATAGATGAGGCTACAAAACGGAGGCTCGTGGAGGCAGAGCTGATTGTTTATAGAGTACAAAAGAGGCATCAAGARCCCTGGTTGGCCTGACTTCAAAGCCGAGGCCTGTCCCAGCCCCAGCCTCATGCACAGTGCCATGGAGGGTGGGGCTTCTAGGGAGGACACCACGTTTCTGGGGTCACCCTGAGGAGCACTGTGTGTCCACAGCACCCTAACATCCTACATGTAGCCCCCCACCCCCACCTCAGAGGTACTGGCTGTGCTGACCCCACTGCCTTCCCCACGGCCTGCGCTGGGCATGTGACCTGGATGCACGGGAGGAGAGAGGGAGTCTGGCCGCAGCTCCTGGGAAAGCCTCTTCCCCCCGAGACTGGCAAGGGGAGGTCCCAGGGCCCCTCTTGCTACCCCTGGCAGCAATCTGTTTCCTGCCTCAGGAGTGGACCTGGGAGGAACGAAATTCAGGGCAATGACCATCATTTTGCCACCATGAGGGGCAGGCCTCAAACGACCCTCCCAGACTCCACCAGCCTGGAGCAGCTGCCCCAGCCGCCCTGGTGTGGCCACCTCTGGAACCCGTCACCCATGCCCCAGGCACCTTGTGTCATGGGGAGGACAAGCCCAGGGGCGGATTCTGAGGGAGGAGAAGGGGAGGCACCCACCTTTCTTCTGTTTGATGCGGAGGAGGTAGAGGGCCGCCATCAGCAGGACCACCAGCAAGGCACACACCACGCCCACCACGATGAAGATGTTCCAATTGGCAGACTTGTCTGAGGACCACACAGAAGACAGGCTTCACTTATGCAGATGGAAACAGAAAAACCCGAACCCACGGCCCCTCTGCACAGTGAGGCGGCRCTGCTAACAGAACAGCTGGCTGGGCCGGGCGAGCCTCGCAGTCACGTGGGCACAGGGGTCGGGGCACAGTCGCTCCTGGGGGTCACCAGGAGCAAACACCAGGCTGAGGGCCCAGGGTAGGGGACCGTGGAGCCCAGCTGCAGGGTGTGGGCAGCATCTCCCTCCCGGGGAACAGAACACGTTCCTTCTCATCTGGAGCCGAACCAGAAGGAGCCACCTGTCCATCTGAGACCGTGAGTCAGCCGCTAGCGGCAGAAGGCGCTGGGGGAGAGGGACACTGMGGARCKKCTGTGTGCCCGCTGGCTGYGGGACTCGGTGAGMKCCCAGGGGCTGACCACCCATCTGCRCCCCGGCCCTGGGCCCYACAGCCTAYGMGCTGTGAATCAGGGCACCTGGGTTAGAAGCAGAGGCTTGAGGGCTCCAGGGCACAGGTAGGAGATCCAGGGCTCCAAGTCATAGAAACGTGGGTTCAAATCAATGTCCCTAACCAGTTACAYGACCTTGGGCAGGTCAGGTGAACCTCTTCCCTCTGCTGCCTTCTTCTTGAGGATGATAATAAATTCCACTGCAACTATTCAACACCAACTCTTCCAACCTCTGTCCAACAATTGAGTTCCTATTATGTGCCCTGAAGCTACAATGCTGAATAAAACAGTCACAGTCTCTACCCGCAGAGAATCAGAGCTGAGGGGCACCAAGCTCATCTCCTTCAACGTGGCCCTTCGCAAGCAGAGGCTCAAAGTCAGGCACTGACTTGCTCAAGGTCACACAGCAAGCCTGTGACAAATGCACACACCCTGTATTGCACATCCTATGAAAACCAGGCTTCGGTGCAATCAAAGGGACACCATGACACTGCACTGAGGCTCTCTTGGGGCTTCCCTGAAGGAAGCACAAAGAAGTGGCCTCYGTTCTCATCTGTCCAAAGGTTCTGCTACGTACAAACTGTCAGCCAAGGTGATGACAGGTCATCACTCCAYGGTGGCACTAGAGGACAACAAGATGCGGCTATTTTCAAGTAAGAAGAATTCGCAACACATGGGAGGGGGGCGGACAACCCATGCCTGGGTCTCCCAACCTGGTGGAATGGATGCGCCACCTTCATGCTAAATGAGCATGCCCTTGGCCCAGAAAGGGTCCCTGAGAGAYGGTCGCACAGAAACAGCACACATGGGACACAGTAGGTACAACAGTGGTCACRGCAGCTCTGGTTTTCCTTGAGCCAAGATGAAAGAATCCCCAGAGCCTCCCACCCCACTGCCAGCAGCAGGAGTGCTGGGGACACCAGGCTGAGGTCAGAAAGAGAGGAGGGAGGTGGCCATGAGGACGTGACAAGTGTCAGGTGAAGAAGGCAAGTGGTGGTGGCCAGGACAGGCCCATCCCCCGTCCTCCCTTCCTCCTTAGTGTCCCTGTTTGAAGGCCCCATGAGATGTGTGCCCAACCCCACAGAGGAGACCCTCAGAGTGTGGTGTGGGGAGCTGACTAAGACGCTGCTGTGTTCCCAGGCTCTGGGTGCCCTGKGGGAAGGGGGGTCACTGCTCTCACRTCACAACACACAGAGTCAAGATGAAGTTTAAAGCATTCAATCAGCTGGGATGTGGGCCTCACCGGGGGTGTTTTCTGGGCTTTGCTTCCCGGGGTCGGCAGAGACCTTCAGGGTGTAGTTCCTGGTGGTGGCTGGCTGCCCGTCGTGCTCCACCCGGCAGGTGAACGTCACGTCCTCCCTGTGCCCAGAGGAGTTGACCAGCAGCCAGCTCGTCAGGTTGAAGGTCCCGTCCTTGTTCTCTGAGCGTGTTGAGCCTGTTTCTGTCCTGGACACGTTAACATTCTCCACCCAGGTCACCTGTAGGCTCTTGGGGTAGAAGTGCTTCACCTGGCAGGTGATGTTCACCTGGTTCCCTGCCAAGGTGGACTGTGGGGTGACCTCCAGGGTGGGCGGAACTGAAACAGCACAGGCAGAAGCTGTGACCTTATGGGACAGATGCTGAGCTCCTCCCAGCAGGGCAAGGGCCTCCCTTGGGACAGGGCCAGGCATGCAGAGGGGCTCAGACACTGAGGGTTTGCACGGGAGTGAATCACTAACCACAGGGCCTGTCACCCACAGGTGCCAAGGGACCAGCAGCTCCCCTGAGGGTAAGTGAGTGAGGCTGAGAGGCTGCCTGTAGGAAGTGAGCAAATAGATGGAACCTCCCTGCACGTCAAGGTTCGGCTCTGGGAGGAGCTCAGCAGTGGTAGTTGCTGATGGTCAATTAAATGAAGCCAACAGCTCATGCTGGACACAGGGCAGGAGTCCATATGTGATGGCAGGGGAAAGCACTGCTGGGAATTAGAGCCCAGGCCACTGAGGTCCTGGGGCAAAGGTCCCTGGGGAGCAGCCGGCTGGGTGGGCAGTGTGGGCTGAGGTGGGGAGCAGGGTCCTGTACCTTGGATGGTGTCAGACAAGTTGGCAGTCCCACGAAGAGGGCTCCCCTGTAGGGTGACATGGGCCACCTCACAGATGACTTGAGAGTGCACGTCCCCAGGGGCCAGGGTCATGACCATTTTGTAGACAGGGAAACAAAGGGCTCAAGAGGAGCCATGCCTCATCCAAGACCATGCAGGTGGGGAGCACAGCCCCCGGGCTCCTGCGGGTCTGTTCCTGGGCAGGCTCCCTGTGTCCTCCCAACAGCCTGGGAAGATGGGTTCCCAAGGCAAAGGACCACAAGGAAGATGCAGCATCTGGCCACGGCCACCCCTGCCCCCTCCATCCCCCTCTTTGTCATCTAGAGCATCCTTTRGGCCCAAGACATGGCAGAGAGGACCAAGCATCTACTAGGAGTCAGCAGAGCAAGTCACCTGAGCCACTTGCTGGCCGTGATTGCCTTGGCGGGCATGTGACACTGGGCCCTCAGGGTCTTTGTTGGTGACACCTGCAAAATCAGGAGGAAGCCACCTCCCCGCCTACCTCCAGGGGTTCTGAGACCTGGTGCCACCACACCCAGGACAGAACACTGGTGTCATCCACATAAAGTAATCATACTCTCTGACCCAGCAGGCCTCTGCAGCAGGCATCCACCTGCAGGGGATGACCACCTCGAGGTCCCCACGGCAGCACTGTTTTAACAGCTCAAGGCTGGGACCAACTCAAATCTTCTACCAACAGAATAGGGGAGGATCCACGGTGGCATTTCCAGCTGCTGGATGATAAAGCGCCTGTTATTCCATATCCCATGCAGAGATATGGGATCCCAATAAGGAATGACCCGGATGGCACTGGGGGGGCGGTTTCTGATGTAAACCAGCCTCATGGTCTGAATGTAAGGCTCGTGCTGAATCTCGGGGAAACCAGTGAGGGGCAGAAACTCTGGCTCCCTGCCCAGCAGGTTCCAGGGGCTCTCATTCAGCACCTACCCTGCACCTTGCTCATCTCTGCAGACAGTGTCAGCACCGGGCAGCACAGAGTGGAGCTGGAATGGGACCTGGGTTCCCAGCCTGATCCTGGCACTAACTGGCCATGTGACCCTTGGCAGGTCGCTGGCCATGCCTAAGCCTCCAGCTC